TATCTCGTCACTAAGCAACAATTGTAATAAGGGACCTCAAAGCGAAGGTGGGTATCGAGCACAGTACATGGCCAGAGTACTCGACCGTCAAGGTATCGACAGTGCGAATGACAAAAATGACAAAGGCAGGCATTTGTTAACCTTTTTGCGGCCACAAACGGCTTAACCGTCATAAATGTATTCACCGAACCACCTGAACGACCCCCGGTGCAATCCTAAACACCCAGATGGACCATCAACAGCAAATGGCACAGCTAGCTCGTTACTCGCATCAGGCATGGTACCTGCATTGGGTTTGATCACCACATGGTCGTAACGGAACCTAGCCGTGCCGCACTGACGTCATCTGGTTGAAACAAATGAAACACATCAGTAAAGTTCAATGTTGACACGTTAAAATATGGTCGGTCTACCAAAATGAGGAAAAAAATAATTTTAATGCCATGCTTAGTGCCCTGCAGAAAGTGGCAACGTCAGTGAAGCTCAAAAAACTTCAAAGAAGCCGTCATTACCTCAGCGAAAAATAGTTGAGGTCAGGAATGCAATAGTCAAAACGCCCTGGATTACGCAGAAAGCCTTAGGCCTATTAGTGCAAAGGAATCAGGCAAAGAATGAATACTTTTAACACCCTATAGCACCAACAAGGGTAGTCCATCGCCATGTCGAGAAACAGGGAACTTTAACTATTGAGGTAAATGAGGAAGATCGATAGTAAAGTGGAAAACAGCGATCAGACAGTTGCAACAGTTATCTGGTAAGCAGGGGATTTGGTCTATCTTTATCCAATACGCTAAGGATGTGCCATTCGTAAGTCAGAAGGAACGCCTCAAAATATGGGTTGACCATTTCCAGCAGATGCTTAACGGCGGTCTTCCGCATTCCTCACTTCCGACCGTTAACTTTCTTCTACAAACATTATGTTAGTACAGATTCACCCTCAAAACAATAAAGCCAAAATGCCTCGCTACACTTCAAAAAGGCCTGCGGGGTGGATAAAGTTCCTGTGGAGTAAATTAAGCATTGAGGAACGGGAATGACAGAAAACCTTCACGTCATGTTTCATTAAATGCTGGCTACATGCGTTCCCCAGGGAATGGAAGCACGGAATAATTGTCCCCATATTTAAATGGGGTCAGTGACCGAGTATTTCAATTATTGTGATATCGCATTACTGTTAACTCCAAAGGAACCATTTTCTTGTATATTTTCTAAAGGCGAAGGCAGGCAATTGATGGGATACTTCGCCCGAGTCAAACAGGCTTCCGGACAGGATACCCCTGTCCATACCAAATTTTCACTCTGTATGATTACTGAGGAAACCACATGATTCCAGCTGACTTTGTCTGTCGGTTTCCTTGACTTTAAGGTTCATTTGATTTCCTACCTCGTCAGATGATGTGGAGAATCTTGAAACGCTAGAAATACCTGAACACGTTGTATTTCTTGTGGAAAAGATATATTCAGGAACTACGTCTGCTGTCAAAGTGCAAGGAGAGCTATTTGAGTTCTCTGTTAACAATCAACATTGCCAAGGATGTGTGCTTTCGCCCTTGCTATTTAACAATGTTTTCGGCTTCCTCCTTCAAATCACTTCTGACAATAAAATAGACGAACGCCTTATTCTAGAGGGAAGGCACAGGTCAAGATATCCGGCCATATATCTTCCTCACCTGGAGTATGTAGATGGCACTGTGAGAGTGAGCAGTAAGGAAAGCGAGCTCTTTCATCTGCTGGCTGCGAAAGACGACTTTTTCGTTAATGCCCGAAAGTCAAAATGTATGAAGAATCCATTCGGTATAGCTGATCTCCAAGTGGAACAGGGAGGTGAAGCATTTGATTTTGATGAATCTAAGTGTTTTGGATCATTATCTATATATATGACACTCTCCTGCCAGAGTTAAATGGGAGGATCAGCCTATTTTCAAGTATTCTGGAAGCTGTCCAATATTTTAGCTGTAAAAGAACGCGTTCCGCGAAATTCCGCCTGTACCATAACTCCGAAAAGTCACTGTTGTTGTAAATGACTGAGGCACTTAAGTAACGATCAAGAACGGCCGTTGAAGTACGCACAGCTAATCTGGCCTCGAGCATGATGTGGGCTAAATAGTAGGGCCACACAACTAATTAATCTATTCTCTTCCAAGCAGAGGTGACCTCAGTAAATGTGAAGATTAAGAAAAGGAGAATAGGCCTGCGTGTAAAATTGACTGAACATAAAACATTAACTACTCGAGCCCAGAAGCTTCTCGGATGGAAGTCCAAATAAGGCAGCAGGTAACGTGGAGAAACAAGGTAGAGGCATATCTACTTCTGAAATGGAATATTTCCTTTTGCAACGTAACAGCCAGTGCCAGTGTTGAACACTTATGGCAAATATACCGAAAAACTGCGGATACAGAGGACGTCATAAACGGGAGAGATTCCGTCCATGCAAAAGACTCAATGTGGGGACTTCAACACAATAATATCGTGAAATAAACTGCACTTCAGAGTGGAATATGTCGTGCGCTATTTGCGAGGCATGGCATACAGTAGTTATATGATCTTTAACGACAGAACGTGTTAAGGGGCGCTGGCAAACTTAAAAGCATAGTTGATAACTAATATAGGTAAAACCAGTGGTTTCTGAGGTCAATATCTCGAAGGAAAACAAATAGCATACCAGTGATATAAAGTACACGCAAGTCTTTCGTAAATTTTAGACAAATGGTCGTGAGATATACAGCTGCAATTTTAAACTATAAAACACAAACAGGTACATGATAAACAGATGTTTGATTTGCAAGTACACTTTTAATCGACTATTCTCAAACGTTAACTGTAACATACTTAAACAATAAACTCAACGCTGGCTAATAGTTATCATGGTTTCAGATCTTGCTTTTTAGAAGGTTTAATTGCGTTCTGACTTTTGAAAACAGTGAACACATAGCAGTTAAATGAAATTAATGGTTCCGAGTAGTAGTTGATAAGTTTAAGAGACGGAGCTTCATTTTGATGAGAGAAAAACAATGCGATAATATAAATTGAATTATCGTGTACTTTTGGAGTCGGGCTAAGGAAGAGGATGGTATTCGTACTAAACGTCTTTTGTTAAAATGAGAAAAAACGTAACCTGAAAGGATTTGCTAAAAAATTCAGTACTCTGGCCTGTGCTAGGTAATTCAAACACGGTTCCTAGCGTATACAATGCAAATCACTCTCATTCAGTACTGCTATGTCGCAAAATACAGAGAAACACGTTGGCAAACTGTCAGCAATATTTATATCAGTCGTTGTATACAAGCTTGAAAATTATGGTGATGAAAAATGTAATCGCGTGTTAAGAGGGAGGATTGCATGCGTGTAAAAGTTAGCACGAATATTCCTAAATCTGAATGTTAAATCTCTTGTAGATCCGATCGATGTTAATCTTATTACAGTAGTTGTAATCTACTTCGAGAATGAAGTTTAGGGGCACTTCTGGATCACTGAGATTGTGATTGTAGAACAGACGCATTCCTGACATAACTAAAATCTATAGTGGGCTACAAAACCAATGCTTTTTAGGTTGTTCTTAGGTGGTACCTGAATATATGTGGCAATATAATATCCACATTACTGTGCAGCGGCTTCTTTATTCTAGAACTTATGTAAATAGGTTCTTCGTCGAATGCATGCAGCGAATATTCATGTGTCAGAAGTACTTGTTTCAAGCGTCGAGTTTCTGCATGATTATTCTAAACTCGGTTATCATGCAAATATTAGTTGAGATAATCCAGCGAGTTTGGACAATGAGCTAAATTTCCAGCATATCAGTTGTTTCACATTAAACGCTCCTGAACAATTAACAATAGCGTTACAAATAATTTAACCATCGGTAACAATGTCTGAATAATTGGAGAAGGCTAATCACCTGTAACTCAAATTATTATGGGTTCCTTAAATTTGTGCATTTTAGAATATAGGTGATGTTTACCAATTCTAGCAATAATAGCTAAAAATTTATGCGTAAATCTGTGTGTTAGCTAAAATTCCATAGAGCGGTGAGATCATCTGGTTTCAAGCTCGACAAATTAGTTCTTGAGAATAAATACGATACGTAATAGCGGTCCTCTGACGAAGAGGAAATGATGCACTCCTTCGAAAAAAAACGTCCAGTCATATCTGCCTGACGGTCAGGCATCGGTTGTCAAGAGTCAGAAGAGAAAACTTGAATAAAACAAAAGACGGAAATTGGAGTATGTGGCAACTTCGACCCAGTATCAACCATGCCAACGAATATCAGACCTTAATAAACCGACGCTTTACCGCCCAACAAAATTCGTTTGTCGAATACCGGCCGATCAAGGTAATAAATTTAAATGTAACTGACATCTACCAATTAATATCTTGAATATCAATTCTGGTGTCAGCTTTCGAAAATGAATCGATTTAAGCGTTAGGCATTGGATAAGAAAATGACAAATTCTTGTTTAACGGTTAGCTACTACAAAGTTCAAATTTTTGCCTTAATTAGCGTCTTTAATTGTTTATTATCGTGTTCTGTATAAAAAGTTTACCACAGAATCTTAAGTTGGTCTGATAAAATATTTCTACGTTGCTCAGCTCATACGACAAACATACATACAAAGGTTTCGAAATTCAGACCAAAACTAATAACGTAATACATGGCATCCAAAAGCCACAATGCCTACGGTAAATACTACAAAAGTTTCGCCGATTTTGCTCATGTTAGTTCATTGTTTGGCAATCGATACGTCATTATGAGAATAGGCTCAATGTTACCACTAAGCAGTTCGTAAATAACAGTGTTTTGTAAACCCTTTGAAGATCATCAATGAAGAAGGATTATTTTAAGTGCCAGCACAACATCCACAACAAGAGGGCTGAGTAAGACATCCGCTGCAACATCCTCCTGTTTATCCAAAATAACCGAAAGTAACTCTTGATTCAAGCCAAAATTTAATAATCCAAGTCAAAATCAAAATAATCGTCGTCGAAAACGTGAACGCGCACGTAACCGTCTTCTCCACCTGAAGCGTACGACTTTCCGTCTGGATGAAACACCAAGCTGTTAATGGGACCGAAATGACCACGAACCCTCGCAAACTCCTCTTGGAAGATTAGATGGTAAAATTTCGCCTCAAACTGACCTTGTCGTGTGTCCGTTTGGGTGACCTGAAATACAGCAATTATTGCAAGCAACAAAAAATAAATAACTCTTACAGAGAGATCAGCCAGGAAAAAGTATTTTATAACTTTAAAAATTATTTTCAACTTATGAAAAAGGAATTAAACGAATCTTAAAGAAGGAACCTGTGTTGTATACCAATGCGTTTAGATGGTACTGGCTAACAATACCACGAACAGTAAACAGTGTTTCATCGTTAGGCTTTTAATCCAACTGGCTAAACTTGTTCATCGCCAAACTCAAGGCAGGTGTCATTTTAAGAATTACCTGCGATCCTGACCAAAAGTAAATCAGTTAAAATAAGCTGAGAATTCCGCTGGCCTATATTTAACTACACGACGAACTAAAGACGAAAGAGACACTGATGATATCAGATGGTCCTCAAGCTTTATAAAAAGAACGAGAAGCTTCCTTACTCGAAGCTGCTATAAGATATTTTAATGAGTACTGACAGAAAGGGTGGAAAGGACTACGGTGATGACCTCATGTATTAATATGTTAAGTATATAATTGTACGGCACACTAGATTTCCAACATTTTTGGTATGACAGATCAAACACAAAAGAAGTTACTCCTTCAAATCAGCATATCTCACCTTCATAGCTTCTTCACCACCGCCGAGAACGATGTGGTCTCTCGTCGGAGAAATTGCCGCGGAATTCACTGGACGCTCTGACTGATAAGTTTTCAGGTGGATGAAATTTTGAGCGTCGAACAACTTCGCTGTCTGATCCTTGCTTGCCGACAATAGCATGATCTCGTCAGATGACGTCTGAAGATCCATCACGGCACGCTTGTGCTCCGTGAGGAAATTGACCGGATCTGAGCTGTCCCTCCGAATGTCGAACTGACATATTTCTCCGTTTTCGTTGCCTAAATCACATTTATAAACATTAATACGTACGAAAAAGGTAAAATAGGCAAAACAAATGACAGCAATCTTGTAATACCATGGTCAAAGGCAAAAACACAAAGAAAACCGAAAGCTGACTGACCTCATTCAAGAGTAAACGATTTTAACAACTTTAACGACACCGCTTATCTTCACTACTAAAACTCTCAGGGTGTTAGTCCTGGAAATAAGTTGTGTTGACTTAAGAATGAAGTCTTTTTTATGTTTACAACAACTGACGAGGTTACCACGGCGTTATGCCGCCACTCCCTGCTGCTACATGTCTCAAGGAATAAGCAAGCACCCAGGCTGAATTAACTCCTAATACAGTAGGCAAAGAAGTATCGCATCAGTTTAATGGTACGAGTAATAATGCATTTCATTACCATCAATATTTCAGGAGTGCATTTAAGCAAAAAACTCAGAAATACGGAGAAACGGGGTGAAAATAAAATTATAAATGCTATAAAACAACGCCTCTATGATACGAACTTTGTTTATTGCAAAACAACTTTTCAATTCATACTGGCTTCATTATTTATTACATATATGCACTTCATTCGTAGCACAAAATAAACGCCGGCCTTAAGAAGGAAAATCCTAATCTTACGATGCCTCTATCTTTTCGAAATCTTGTTGAAAAGGCTTTAACGTCAAGTTTAACTGTTTTGAAAGCACAGATATAAGGGCTAATCATTTTTATTCGCTGTTATGTTTTGTTCCAAAGGAAATGAAACAAAGCCCCTAACATCCTTAATAGCCGTTAAACATTGAGCTAACCGCTGAAAGAAAAAATTCCAGTATAAGAATTATAAATTAACAGCACAACAATATAAGACGATTGGTTTAACAATTATCTCTGATAACCGTTATAAGACCAGTATGTCGTCGTAAACTCTGAGATGAATATGCGAATTTTATTTAAATAACAACATAAATAATAAATGTGCGACAGATCAGTAAATGAACTGTCAAAAGACAAATTTTAAAACGGAATTAATATATAACTGTCTAATAACAATCACTAACTTATTAAATTCGTTAACATTAACATAAACCATAGCAAACTTCAAACTAAACTGCAACGGGAGTAACGCCAAGAGAATATTTTAAAAAACTGCAGTTAATTCTTGAATATGCTGATTGTTTCAGAAAGAAAGATACAAAAGTTACTAGTTGCTCGACGGTGAAAAAGGTCAAGAATAAACCGAGACAAGATCCTCGATGACCTGGGCTCCAACAAATAAGTAAACTTTTGCAGAAATAAAGATGATGGCGCAGTAACGCGAACGCTGAAGATTGTACCTGACGCTGCTGCTTCCGCGACCCGAGAAGCGATCATCGACAAACTGACTGACTGAATTCTCTACTGCTACAAGCAATGAAGTGCAGTGTTACTAAGATTCTCATATACTAAATTAAACATAATTATTGTCCTGATAACTGCCAATTCGGTCAAAACCTTGGAATTCTTGTAAATAAAATTATTTTCCTATTTCTCATGCTGAATCAGAAGACCAGTCACCTTGAACTCATCTACGGGTATTTGTATGAGCCTTAGAAATTATTTAACATAATTATAACATATAACGTAATTAACGCAATTAAAGCAAAAGTTCTAACAGTCTTAAATTTTAGGAACAAAGGATCTACAACACAAAAATAATTAAACCCGATCTTATGGGTTTACTAGCATACTGCTAGTTATCGATACCGCCGCTAACACATTTAATCCTTTTTAGTTTTTGATACAGGATTAGAGCGGCACAATCACGACCATTGCTTCTAGTTGCCTAAAGGGCCATTAAAGGAGGCCATGGCTCCAAGGTATTCGAGCACCGGCAGTGCATGGACGCAGAACCGCATAACTAGGGTGGCTGAACAAGGGCCTGTTCAGACACCTGCAAATAAATCACAATCCATAGGCATATTTATACACAAAAATAAAACCCGATCTTACGAGTTTACTAGCAAACTGCTAGTTATATGACTAGAAGCAAGGAGACGGTGATTACGCCGCTCAATCCGGTATCAAAAAACTAAAAAAGATTAAACTTTGTCGACAAATAATAATGTAAGCGGGAAAAATTTTGCAGGGAAAAACGTCGAGCAATGTAACTTAAAGAGATGACACGAAGTGGGAGGATGATCGTCGAAGGTACAGAGGAATACAAAGCCTCGCCCAGGACAAGTCATGCTGCAATGCGAAAAGACTTCCGGAATTATGCAGTACACAAGACAGGAATGACGCACCGGCTCCAACCAAATGGCTACGCGCAACGGAGAAACTTCTATCATCAAAGAAAGAAATGAACCGAGCAAGCATGTCAAAGATGCAATAATCAGCCAATCGCATGACTATGTGAAGGGTGACAAAGGATATGAACTATGTGATGGATGGATCGAGTCCGTCGCCCCTGACACCAACCGCTGTTACAGCAGTGGAATGGACCGACCGAGAGCTCGCCTTATGGTTCGATACGCAACAGGGAATTTACCTTGAAGAACGACGGTGGGAGGCGGAGCAAAAAATCGTCCGTGGTGCATTATCCGACAAACC